ACAGAGCGAGACTCTATCTCAGAAAAAAAAAAAAGAAAAAAGAAAGTGCTGTGCCTGGGGTGGCTGTGTGCCTGCTTACCACAGGAAAGGGAGGGAGGCAGGTGCTCAGGCCTCTGCAGACGACAATGCTGTTCCCCCACTGGGTAGGTGTCTAAGGAGAGAAAAGGAGAAGCCTAGGAGAGTGGCCACGGCCCTGTGCCCATCTGTGCTCATTGTGTCTGGGAGCAATGGACAGGGAACCCATTAGCCAGCCACCAGGAGAGATCCTCTCCCTCCTTGCCTACAGAGGGGCCCTGTGCCACCAGGTATGTGGGGTGCAAACAGGATGAGCAGATCTATAGGAAGCAGGTCAGAGGCTGAGGGCCATGGCAGGGTCCCTCCCAACCAGTGGCCTCCAAAGCTGAGATGTGGAGGCAGAGGGAGGTTGACAAAAATATTGTGAAAAGCTGGGTGGAGAGAAGAGTAGGATCTGGAGATATACTAGGAAAAGGGGAACAGGGGCTGGAAATAGGACAGAAACTGAGAGGCAGTGAGGGGGAGGCAGGGACACTGGGTGGATATTGTGAGCTCTGGAATTCAGGGACCTCCCAGAAGCAAAAAGTTGGTTTGAACTATACCCCCTGTACTCAATGTCTACCTGCTAGCCTTGTCTCAGTTATGCCCACAGGATTGAATTCTTTTTTTTTTTTTTTTTTTCGGAGAGAGGATCTCTCTCCCTCTGTCACCCTCAAGCCTCACTGCAGCCTCCACCTCCCAGGCTCAAGCAGTCCTCCCACATTAGCCTCCTGAGTAGCCAGGCCTACAGGTGCATGCCACCACATCCAACTAATTTTTAAAGTTTTGTTTTGCTTTGTTTTAGATGGAGTTTCACTTTTGTTGCCAGGCTGGAGTGCAATGGCGCCACCTCAGCTCACTGCAACCTCCGCCTCCTGGGTTCAAGAGATTCTCCTGCCTCAACCTCCAAAGTAGCTGGGACTACAGGCATGCACCACCACACCCAGCTAATTTTTGTATTTTTAGTAGAGACAGGGTTTCACCATGTTGGCCAGGCTGGTCTTGAACTCCTGACTTCAGGTGATGCACCTGCCTCGGCCTCCCAAAGTGCTGGGATTGCAAGTGTGAGCCACTACACCCGGTCTTAAATTTTTTATAGAGATGGGGTCTCACTAAGTTGCCCAGGATGGTCTCAAACTCCTGGGCCCAGGCGATCCTCCTGCCTTGGCCTCCCAAAGTGCTGGAATTACAGGTGCGAGCCACTGCGCCCAGCCTGCGTGGTTGAATTTGGCAAGATGAAGGAAGTGCAGTGAAGGAAGTACAGTGAACTGGAGACCTTTGCTTTTCTTCAGTCCCTGTGGATGTTCCTGCTGGAGATGGTGTCCTGTCACCCTAGCCCCATTGACGGGTACCTCAGATCTCAAGATCTTTGTGAAACTTACCCTGGCCCCATTGACAGGTACCTCAGATCTTAAGATCTTTTTGTAACTCACCCTTCTTCCTCCAGCTCAGACCAAACCCCTTCTCAAAGATCTACCCTTTTTCCAGCATCTCTGTCATTTCATTCACAGTCTCTGCCCTCTGTGAAAATGGAATCTGTCTGGCAGTTTCTCCCTCACATCCTCATCCCCACTAACCCTGCCTATGCTATGATGCCAATACTTTTTATTCTGTCCCTCAAAGAGATGAGGTTTAGCAAGGCTTCCTCAACTTCCTCCTAGCAATATTCCCTCCTCCACTGTCTGAAATTCAAACTGGGGCTCCCATCATCGTGTTGCTTCTCTTTCCATTAGATTAACTCTCCTAGCCCCCCTCCCATTTTCCCTTAGCCTCTTGAGCTCAGGAAATGGTGCATGGGAGAG